TTCGACACGCGTTGCTCATTGTCTTATTTTATATGTAATTTTTCTGAGTTTGATTTCTCATGTCTTCTTGCAGAGTACATTTTATTTTTACTACCATTTCTATTTGTAAATATCCATCTGCTTATTAAAGCCCTTTAGAATTAAGTTCATGTATTACCACAATTAGTTTCGGACGGAAAATGCAACGATTTCCCGCCATTATGTATTCGAAATTTTGCCATCCATATGAAAATAAAGAAATGTGGTATGACATTCAATCAGACAACTATCCACTATCCTCGAGAGACAAAACAACGACGATTTAAACAATGATCTGTCACCATACGGCCTTCAACAATGATCTGTCACCATACGGCCTTCAACAGCAATAGGTCACAATACGACCTTCAACAATGATGGGTCACCATACGGCTTTCAATGATAGGTCACCTTACGGTCATCAACAGCAAAAGGTCACCATACGGCCTTCAACAATGATAGGTCACCATACGGCCTTCAACAATGAAAAACTCATATCAAATAGGTAACTATAAAAGGACATGTTATGACAAAATATGAAACATTCTAAAAGAGAAAACCAACGTTCTAATTTATTCTAAAACAACAAAAAGGGCAAACAGAAACCATCGACAAACATTGGATTACAGGCTACTTACATACGACAGGCACATGAATGTGTGTTTGTGGCGGGGATGGATTTACGTGTTACTTCACGTAATTTATATCCGGAATTTTGTCATCCATAGCAATGACTGATTAGTAAACGTATAACTATGAAAGGATCTATTTACAACTATGGAGTTTAAGTTTTCAGAACATTTGCATGTTATAAGTTTGCTGAATATAAGACGTGTATTTGATAATTATGTCATAGTATGTTTTATAGCAGTTAAAAAAATGAGGGCAAAAATGTCACATCTCATTGCCAATTATAACACTTTCGTTATCTCGTAAAAGTTTACAGCTAATATCATGAAACGATTTATGGAAAAAGCGTTTTAGTTGCAGATATTATTAAAACTGAGATCACTATGTATATATATATATATAAGTCAGCTAATTATTTATCTGTAAATGAATTCACCAAACGCTATTGTAAGCTAGAATATATATCTTCGGCACATAAGTATCAAGAACAACGATATCACGTCCATAGACGCTTAATTGGGTTTTTTCGACTTAATAAGATATTTTCATTAGATGTTTCTTTATCTAATGCATTCCTTTCTATCATTAGCACTATCTCACAGTGGACAATAAAATTAGAGGGATGGCATATGTAAACTGCTGCCAATGTATGAAAGGAAAATAAATAGAAACATTACACACAACTCTGTACAAAAGGGGTATGGCGCAGGCGCCAGTGATATAGCCAGGCAAACTAGTTATGTTACATTAAACAATTTATTCAATTGCAAGATAGCAGGAATCATAGAGAAACACAAAATTGTAGTCGAGAAACGCAAGGAATCAAAGTGAGAAAGAGAAAATCTTTAATACTTTTTTATAATAGCATAGTTCGTCATAACTACAGTTTATATTAATGATAAGATTGTAAAACAAGATTAATTAATTTATATGACACGAACAAAATGCATCATGTTTCACATCACAACGATAATTTACTAGAAAATAAACTATCTAGAAAATAAATGTAGGTAACTTTGTTAGCTTACAGTTACATATCAATTAACTGTAATCATCTGTACGACATACATCCAGTTGGACTATTCGGTATAAATGGTTATAATTTATTTTACCCGTGTAAGTCCTATTTCGATACAGGACCTAATTCAGGGGTATGAAAAGCAGAAAGGAACAGCATTAGCAGCGGAATGATTATTTAAAAGTAAGATATGCTTAGACTTCTGTTTGTTTCATTTTATGTGCTCAAGAGGTATTGAGTCGTGTTTAAAATGTAAAAAAGTCAGTTCGAAATATAAAGTCGTGTAAATGAGTTGTTATGTATAACACTTTTCAGCTATTTTTAATTTCCTGTTGGTATTAAAACGTTTTTACAATTATCTAATTGTTTAAATTCATCTCTATATGTGCTTGATTTATTGAATTCAAGTCAAACTCCGCTCAAGTGAGCATCGAGTGAAACAATTGCGAATAACTGAACGTTACCGAAGACATATATCATTCGATTTTGGTTTCAATGTAGAAAGAAGTCCAAAACCTTGCTGTTCGTTGGTAGAGGGTACTAGATAACGAATAAATTGATCTTTAGTAAAAATTGATTCACTACTTGCGAATCTCGAAAATTGTTTCTTGTTAGTTGCATGTGCTTGAAACCAACTTGAATATTAGAAATTCAGCAGTTACAAATCAGGATAAAACAAGAAACCAAAATAGCACAAAAATACGAGAGAAACAGGTAAGATGTACTTTAAGTTATATTAATGTATTAATATCAGAGTAACATTTAACACATGCATGCATTGTCATTGTAGTGGTAATGTCGGGTTTTCTCTACGAATCTTACTATCTATTAGTTGTAACTAGCTTTGAACTAGCTTTGAACTAGCTTTCAGTAAATGCTAGTACTCTTATTTCGGTGCATTATGTCTATTGTTTTAATGTTCGTGGTTTTTGGGCATCGTGCCAATCTTTTGAGTTCAGTCAATTGCAACGGACTTTACAGTTTATTCTTATGTTGTGCTATGTGTTACACCACTGTCAAAGGTTAGGGGATGGTTGGGCACTCACAGAAATGTTTAACCCCGTCACATTCTTTATGTGCCTATCCCAAGTCAGGAGCCTATAGTTCAGTGGTTTTGATTCATGTCTATCGTATTTGTTTTTGGAAATTGTTTTGTTATAAATTAGGCCGTTATATTAGTTTTCTCGTTTGAATTTTTTCACATTATTCATGTAGGTGCGCTTTATAGCTGACTATACGGTATGGATTTTTCTCATTTTTGAAGGCCATACGGTTGCCAAAAATTGCTTACATTCACCTCATTTGAACTTTGGTGGATAGTTGTCTCATTGGCAATCATACCACATCTCCTTACTTTTATATTACTAGTATTACTACATTGTTGCATCATTCACATCATGCCTCTATTCACAGCCTTTAATTTTAAATCGTATTTTCAGTCATTCTTGTGTTGATTCATTTGATTTATAAATAGGAGAAACGTTGACGACACGATAAAAAAAAACCAAACCAAACAAACAAACAAAAAAAACAACACACTCCCTTAAAAAATATAAAACACATATAGAGGTTTGCAAAAAAATTATATACATTGATATAAAAATAAGAACATGTGGTATAATTGCCAACGAGACAACTCTTCACAAGAGACTAAATAACACAGTAATCAAGAACTATAGGTCACCGTACGGCCTTCAACAATGAGCAAAGCTCATACCGCATAGTCAGCTATAAAAGGCCCCGAAATGACAAATGTAAAACAATTCAAACGAGAAAACTAACGGCCTAATTTATGTACAAAATAATGATCGAAAAACAAATATCATACACAGAAACAAACGACAAAAACGACAACCACTGAATTACAGGCTCCTGACTTGGGACAGGCACATACAGAATGTGGCGGGCTCTAACATGTTAGCGGGCGCCCAACCCTCCCCTAACGTGTTACACTGGTGTAACAGTGCAACATAAGAACAAACTATAAAAATCAGTTGAAAAAGGCTTTAATCATCAGATGGATACAAACAGAAATACTTTATAACAAAAACACAGAGACAGGGTACTTAAACATCCCCACAATAAAAAGACACTAAGTACAGATCTGAGAGTACTCGCATGACAGCTAGTTCAAAGCCAATGTGCATGTGTCTGTCTTATCTCAGTAACCCCTTAACCCAGCACAGGTGCATGTGTCTGTTCCATCTCAGTAACCACTTAACCCAGCATCATGTGCATGTGTCTGTCCCATCTCAGTAACCTCTTCACCCAGCACCATATACAATGTGTCTGTCCCATCTCAGTAACTACTTAACCCAGTACAACGTGCATGTGTCTGTCCCATAACAGTAACCACTTAACCCAGCACCATGTGCATGTGTCTGTCCTATCTCAGTAACCATTTAACCCAGCACCATGTGCATGTGTCTGTCTCATCTCAGTAACCACTTAACCCAGCACCATGTGCATGTGTCTGTCCTATCTCAGTAACCATTTAAGTGGTTGTCTATTGTTATCTCAGAGACTTGAGATTTGCAGATGCATTGATATCATTTCAATTCCTGTTATTAAGGCCAGAAAAAGATGCAGCACATTTTCCGTCTAGTATAATGTAGAGTGGTTGCTCCTACATGTAAATTACATGTTATTTAATATTTCTTTGTTTCTCTCTTTCTCTCTCTTTAAACTTCAACCCATGCTTTTGAAGTATAAGGGTGCTTTCGTTCGCTGTCTAAATACGCCCTTGTTTCCAACATTTTGTTTTGACCATTACTGTGACGACTTTCCAATAACTCGTAGTTCTGTGCACATAAATGTTGCATACACATGAAAGTCTGCTATAAATGCACACTTTAAACAGATAAATTAATTATTTAAAATTTGTCTGCAGGCTAGATATTACAGAAATAATTTCGCTGTTTCCTCTCTATCATGTCTTTATCCTTGAGAGAATGAAAGGATGATTTGTCTTTGTCATCTTGATATTAATCTGATGTAACTATTAAAATATGTGATGAATTCGAGAGTGCAATGTTTATTTTCACACAAGTAACGTCCAAATGACAAATGCGAAGCTCAAAATTTTGATTTTTTTATCTATAAAATTGAGAAGATGAGGTATGATTGCCAATGAGACAACTATCCACCAGAGTTAAAATGAAGGGGTAGTAAGCAATCATAGGGCACCAACAGTGCGGCCTTCAACAATGAGAAAACCCCAATTTTGTTTAGTAGTAAAACAACTTTGTGACTGAAGACTTTTCTGTATTTTTTACCGTTGCCATACAAATCTAAATTGTATTTGTATTTCCAGAACTTATTAAATAAAAGAGCAATGGACATAGAGAAGAGTTCAGAAGAAAACAAGGAGAAGAGCAAAGATGACATTCCATTTACAAAATTCCAGATACTTAGAAATGTAGCTGTTATTAGCATTGGATTTTTATTTATTTTCATTCCATTCCAATCTATAACAAATCTTCAAAGTACTTTAAATAAGGAAGAAGGACTCGGAACTGGAGGATTAGCTATCATCTATGGAGCTCTTGTCATATCATGCATGTTTCTGCCTTCTTGTGTGATCAGTCATCTTGGTTGTAAATGGACTATTGCTGCCTCTATGGTCTGTTATCTTTTGTACATGGCAGCTAATTTCCATGCTGTTTGGAGTCTTATTGTTCCAGCTTCTGTCATCATTGGGTTAGGAGCTGCGCCATTGTGGTCTGCTAAGTGTTCATATTTGACCAGGATGGCTATGTGGTATGCTCTTTTAACAAATTCTACTGCACATCATGTTATGAGCAGATTCTTTGGATTTTTCTTCATGGTTTACCAAACATGTAAGTTGAAAGAATTAAAGATTTGTTTTTGAACATATTTGAAATCAAAAATGAAAATCTATCTTCATTAGGTCCTTTTTTGGTTTGATCAGCACTTTAACGTTTGTATAAGGTTCTTAATTTTCAAATATTGCGACCACGAGCATCACTTAAGGATGTTCGCTCCTCTTGTTATTGAATTTTTACCAGATATTCGAAATCCTCTGGTTTTATCCATGTAGTGCCATTAAAAAAATTTGCCCGCTAACCCCTACTTTTCTTTTCATAATTTTATTACATATAGTTTAAAAAACCATATTTGAAAATTTTATAAAATCCTTGTTATTTTTCATAGTTTTTGAAAGAAAAAAGGTACCAATGTTAAATGTAGGAAAAAATCAAGAGAGAATCATTTCCCGCCAACTTTTCAAAGGCTTATATCTCGAAACACGGACCCTTCATTTTTTTACGCTTTTTTATCTCCTTTATTTGTATACTATCAATTTATAACAGTCTTTTAAAAAGCTTGTTATTTTGAAACAGAGTAGCGAACATCACTTAAGAGACATAAATTGTCAAATGCACATCTGCTGTAGTACAATTGGTACCGGTTATGTTATTTGTACTCACGCCTGATAAAAGTTGCTTCTGAAAGGATCTTGTTTGAAAAAAAAATATATATAAAACATTAAAATAACTGATTGAAGGCCAATAACGTTACATATTGAGTATGAGTCCCCATGTTTGTCTTGTTTGGAAAAATAACCTCCCTATTTTGTTGTTTTTATTTTGTGATCTTATTCCTATTTTATTGTAAATTATTGTTTTATAGTTTCGACCGTATGTAACCAAGGTTAATGCAGGAATTAATTACTGCAATGATATATTATATGATGTGTTTTATCATTTGATTTTGCCATTTGATTAGGGACTTTCCGTTTTGAATTTTCCTCGGAGTTCAGTATTTTTGTGATTTTACTTTTTACAGGCGAAATTTGGGGAAATATTATCTCATCTCAAGTGCTAAGCGAGCGAGTTGAAGATAATTTTACACTGACAGCAGATGAACTTGGGAAATGTGGAGCCAATTATGACCCAGGTATACAAATGAACAATACAAATTTGGATAGACCAGATAACTCAAAGGTATTCCTTTATTGAGAAATCATAGCTAAATTATTTTATAAGCCAAAAAAAAAAAAAAAAAAAAAATAATAAAAGACAAAATAACTTTTAACAGTAACAATAAAATACTTCAACATTGTAAAAATGTTTTTTTTAAATAAAAAGACAGACATAAAAACCTCTGAAAAAATGACAAAAATTTTAAGATTATCATAAAATGAAATCGTGTAATATATATTCATCCATACTGGATAAACTCTGACATCGGATAAACCAAAATGAATTTTGACTTTATTTTACATTTTCCGATTTCATTTTAGGTGCACATTTTATGTTGGATTAATATGGCTAGTGTTACGTTTGGGTTTTTAATTGTTGTCTTATTCCTACAAAATATACCTGGAAACAATAAAGACCAGAAGCAAAAAGGCAAATTATTTCTCAGTTTGATGATAGAAACATTCAAACACTTATGGAAGTCTCCATACCAGAAATTGTTAGTGATATTAACTATATATAGCGGAGTTGAGCAGGCATTCATTGCGGGGGATTTCACTAAGGTAAGATCGTTAAATTTGTTTGTTACATAAACAAGTTGGCTTAGTATTTAGGGTAAATAAAAAAAAAACACAATTGTGTGTTCTGATAAATTCTTGACGGATATGTTCCAAATGTCATAACCACAACCCCGTTCTCTTTCCTCGAATGTGGCATACTGACTTAGACTTATCACAGGGTTTGTACTTACAGGAGTCACACGATGTAACTAGTTCAGCATGATTTGCTTACCCTTCATGAGCACCTGAGATCACTCCCAGTTTTTGGTAGGGTTCGTGTTGCTCAGTGTTTAGTTTTCTATGTTGTCATTGTATTTGAATTGTAAAATAAAAATCCCACCATTACTGCATTACAATAAACAATTAATGACGAGGTACTGACTTGTGACAAGCACATGATATATGTTCATCTATTGTTTTTCTGAGATCTTAACCTCCCCCTTTGCTTAAACCAATAAAACACAAATAAAAGAAAATACAAATAAAAAAAAAGTACATGAAAGGCACTAAACAACTTAACTGTAAAACATATTTTTTTGTATTCCCATCGCACACTATTATATATTATATAACAGAAGTTGAGCATATTATTTATATTCCACAAAGTGAAGAATTCCTAAACAATGATAGCATGAAAATTATTCATATACTATGTCTATTTTAATCGTACTCACAGAAGTTATATTTGTGTTTTAGTCCTATATTAGCTGTACTATAGGTATAGGGAACGTTGGTTATGTTATGATTGGTTATGGTATTGTAAATGCCATTTGTTCAGTGAGTTTTGGTAAGCTTATGATGTATGTCGGGCAGATTCCATTGTTTGCATTTGGTAAGTTATATTTCTTTGTTATAAAGAAATCATTCACATAAGTATTATCGAGTGAATATCATTCAACTTTTGAGCATAAAATGATTCAACTCGACAAGGCCTTCTAAAAAACTAAACCATTTGAAAAGGATTATAAGTGCGTGTTACTTACCATCCATCGAGAATGTTGCTGAAAGGTAACAAAGTTCTACCTTCTAGGAAGTTCAGGGAGAAAAGTGCTGATATTTTTTAACGCAAACCGGTACCCTCTTTTCGTACATGAAAGCCCAGCCAACCGACATTCACCAAGTTATAGGCCAGATTTTCACTATGTTCAACCCGTCAAAGTATAGGTTGCACTGCAGTGATAGACAATGCAATTTCCAATATGAACTCCTTTTACGGCTAAAACTGTACAACTTTTACTATAAAGTTTCGTAAAAAATTATATCTTTGAATGGAATGTTCATATGCACTACTTTTTTTTTCAAAGGTCAAAACATAGGGCTGTGCGGCATATTTTCACCATTTATATTCCTTGGACCTCAGAGTTCATTCGAGGGGTAACAATCTGCTCTATTACACTCTGAGCTATGTGTGTGTTATTTAATTTATTGTACTGAATGATCTGCCATTATTGTCTTTTACTTTTTTTAAATTGAAAGTAATTAACAAAAACTTTATGTACATAACAATTAACGTTACATTTAATAGAAAAGCAACAAAAAGAAAGATGTATCTTTTATTTTGACATTCTTTGAAAAAGTTCCGAGGCCAAAACGTCGAACATGAGCATTGTCTTTAAAATTATTGATGTAAATTTAATTTATTTTTCTTGAAAGTATCGATTTGGATTGGTCTGCAAGAGAGGGTGTCATTCCAAAATTGTCTCCCGGTGAGCCGTGGGATAATGTAAATTATCTCCCTCTTATTTGCCAATCAAAATCTGGCATTTTACCTAAAAGTATAATAAAATAAAATATCTATGAATATTAAACATCTCCCCAAAAAAGGGGCGTGCTCTGTGAAACAGCTGTATTTACAAAGTTCAACCTAAACAGCATTTACGTTGACGATATATTGCATTTAAGTTATATTTATTAGTTTATGTTATATATTGCCTACCTAACTTTAATTATTGCACCGCGGGTAAATTATCACGTTGTGATTGGTTTAACGCCGTCACGTGGTGACCCCCTATTGATCCGTAGGGGGTTAGTAAATTTCATAGAGGGTTCATGACGTCACGTCTACTGCTAATGGTGACGTCATCTATTAATGTTGTTGTGTTTCATTCTTTATTTTTCTACAAAACGCAGCAGAAAAAGTCCCGCGTGCGATAAATTCGTTATACAGTTCGCTACTGACCCCCTACGGATCCATAGAGGGTTAGTAAAATCCATAGGGGGTGAGGCCGAATATTAATAGGACATATTCGTTGAAATGAAAAAAAAAGAATATAACATTTTTTAAAAGTTATGTGTCTTCTGCTATTTTTTTTTGGCAAACCAAAACCGTTTGATACCGCTCCCTGTTTTATAATCAAAACAAAATCGATAATTTTGATCCTTTTTATTAAGAAATGTTACTTATTTAATTTCAGCTTTTGTTGTTCATGGAGGAACTCAAACTGGTTTGCTACTATGGCAACCTCAACAGGAACCAGTATACATAATCTATATATTTGCCGGTCTATGGGGGATAGGTGACGCTGTAATACAGGCTCAAGTAAATGGTGCGTATAGTACATATCTTTTCAGGTTGAATATTTAGAAACAATGTATGCAAAGGTAAGGTATTTATTAGGAAATTTAGACACTCTTACGATCAACCAATCTGTAGTATCGACAGTAGAACCTGTAATTTCTATTTGTTAGTCTTGTATGTGTTTTTAATTTTGGTTCTTTTATATAAATTGGAGTTTGGTGTGACGTCCATTTTCGCTGACCTAGTATACATTATTGTTTAGGGACCAGCTGAAGCCCGCCTCCGGATGCGAGATTTCACGCTGTGTCCAAGACCAATTGGTAGCTTTCTGCTCTTTGGTCGGGTTGTTGTCTCTTTGACGCATTCCCTGTTTCCATTCTCACGTTTAATTAAAGTAGTAATGAGCAATCAAGGTACATTCCGATGTCCATTTAATGTTTCATAAGTCAAGGTATAAAACAGACAACAATGTAACTATAACAACTGTAATCAACTTTATATTTTGACGGTGTAAGCGTCTTCTGCTATGCATGAGTCATTAGTCACATGATATCGAAATTCCAAAACGCATCAAGTGTCCCAGCCAGGAACATGACAAAACCGATAATAATGTCCAGATTGGAAGTAGTTGACATCTGGAATATAAATCAACAAAGATATCACTTGTGAGTTGTGACACTGAAATTTATAATGGTGCTTGAAGAATTTCTGATAATGTTAGTAGTTCTTCCTTATAACCTTATTTAACTGAATTTAGAGTTAGGAGTATACTTAAGTTATAAAACTTGCTATAGTTCGAACAAGCTCTAGCAAATCATATCAACAAGAAAGCGTAAACGCTATAGGAGATGACACATGGTATGCTGCTGCTCAAGAATGGGAAGATGATAATAGAAAAAGTGAATTCATTTCTAATAGTCAAATATGTACTGTTCAGTTTTAATTTACATCAAATTCGGGAAACAGATCAAGATCTGAAGCAGAACTTCTTGACACCGTAGTATTCTATTACAAGTTCACAACGATGTATGAAATATAACTAAGATTGTGGAGTGCGAGGATTTTTTTTCAAATACTTTAATATATAAAGTTGTCCGTACTCTTGTAAAAATAGCACTCTTGGTTTACATTTATTCATTAAATTTGTAATGTATTATTTATGTGTACTATTTTGTTTGACCTATTATTTCAGCGCTATATGGGTTTTTGTTTAAAGACAACTTGGAGCCAGCATTCTCAAACTATCGTTTGTTCGAAGCTATCGGTTTTCTGATTGCCTTTGCATGGAGCAACTTTCTTAAAACATATGTTAAGCTGTACATATGTATTGGATTTCTGACGGTTGGCATGGGAATGTATGGTATAGTTGAAATGTTAGAACGAACTAACAAGAAAAAGGGTCTGGATTGAACTAAGCATGGTACATGTCCATTGTATGAACAATGTATCGATATGACAGAACAAGGCAACTTTGAGAAAATTGTAAATTATTACACCTTAATATGATTAAAAGCAGAATCATGAAAAAATGCCGACCTCTTTATTGGACAACTTATTATCATTGGAATTCCTAATGTACGGAGACTGCGTGCAATTGCACATGTCAGAGTCCCTTTTCTTTGAATGAGGATACAAATAAATACTAAACAAATATTAAGTATATTTTAGACATTGACAATAGCGAAATGCGTACATGTATTTATATAGTTCATGCCACTAAAGATAAACTGTGAATAAGCACCAACACCGGGAAAGTTGCCATATTTTGGACGGCAAGTTTTACAGAATTTTAAGACAGTGACTGAATTAGAGATATAATTCCTGACATGTAGCTTACCTGAGAAGAACTGAGGCTAAAGTAGACTATTAAAACAATTAAATAATAAAAAGAATAAAATTAATGCCAAATATGACAAAGATAGTGATTTAGCTTCACAATAAGTTTTTGACAGAGATATACTTGTTCTCTTATATTGCATTATTCAATTCAAATCTGAAGATTGGTTGTTATTAAATTTCTTTAAGGTTCATTATAACAAACTTTTGAAAAAATAAAAAAAAAAAACATTTAAAAATATTTCTGCCAAACAATTTATGACTTATTACATATCAATGTGTTCATCATGGTCATTACTATCATAGTGTTACATTGATTTAAATATTAAATGTCAAGTAAAAGAAATATAATACCAAATGTAAGTCCTTTTGTAGAAAAAATGCCCTGTATATCTTCTGTCTTCTAAAACTATGAAAAATAAAAAAAAAACATTCTTTGTAACTATATCTATGTGCTACTAATGTTATTTAATGCATTAATTGCAAGATTTCAATTAAATTCTAATGTTAGTGTTTGGTTTTCATTTGAAAAAAATATATGAAATCTTCCATCTTGGAACTACTTTTGGGAAAAGTATGGAAAGCATGTTTTAAAAAATCAATGAATGGTAAAATGTTATATAATATAAATGAAGTTAGAAAGTTACCATGGTGGGTGATTAAAATTGAACCTTATTGTACCAAATCAATTAACTTCATCAGTAGATAAAGAAAATATCTGTTTTTTGTTAAAAAAATATAAATAAAATTTTTTAATGCTTATTACCTTCCTTTTTACATACAAAATGTATTTAGTATGTATACCAACAGATAGCAAAACATTATGAATTACGTGCATTTGTTCCATGCAAAAGGCCATACATTGAACATAATTTGTTTGAACCAACAGCTTTTTGTTTCTTGATTATATTGTTCTCTTTGGCAATCATACCACCAATGTCATATAAATTTTATATTTGAAATATTGCTTGTTTCATTGTTTGGATTATTGTATTTGATTATCTAGACCAAGCTCAGACAACCTTATTTTTGAAGTGTTGTTGTATAATTAAATTATTTGTAAGGAAAGCATCCTTATCAAGCTATTGCTGCACATTAAATTATCATATTGTACTTACATCTATAAATCAATCAATTTCAAAGAGGAATTTGTAAAATCCTCTAGCAAATGATCAATTTCATAAGGTTCATCACAGTCTTCATATAAAACTTCATATACAGCATCTTTGTCTCCATCTTCATTCTGGATAACAGAAATTACCCTGCCTGTATACCACTTTCTGTTGTTGTTTTCCTCCACCCATTCATGTAATATTTCTCTCCCAACAAATTTTGGTCCAGAACATTTGCGTTTTGATCTGAAAACAAAAGAACAATTAATTATTTATAAACTTCAATAACAAGTTTAATAACAATTTTAATTATCCAAGTAAATGGGATGGTTGCATTTTTTTTATTGTAATTTTATAAATGAATTAATATATTGTTTTTTTTTATAATAAATCAACATTTATATGTGTAAACGCTGATTAGGGACAACTTCAATTTGTGTAGGCCATAACCATCACATAGAAAATTTAATAAAATGCTCCGCTGGGGGCAGCTTGATACGACTGCAGAGGTCGAACCCTGAACAGTTGGGGCGAGTATGGACACAACATTCAAGCTTGATACAGCTCTGAATTTGGATTGTGATTAAATATTTGACACAGCATAGGTTTCTGACACAGAATGAATGTGGTCTATGAACTTAAAAATTTTAAATTTACCTATTCAAACCATATCATTATTATTTGCTTTTATATATGAATCAGAAATAACCAATTTAAAATGGAAAATTTTAAAGAAAAAAAAAAGGAAAAAAAATACCCCCCCCCCCAATTTTTTTAACCCCCTTATGATTCATCACCCTTAAACTCAATCCCAGCCTTTCCTTTGTGGTATGGTACCTTGTAGTACAATTTCAGAGAGATCCATACATTGAACACAAGTTATTGTCTGGAAACTAGAAAAATGCTTGTTTTTTGCCCCTTTTTGGCCCCTAATTTCTAAAATTTTGAGGCAATTACCCCTAAAATCCCAGCATTCCATTCGTGATATGTTACCTTGTGATACAATGTCAGAGAGATCCACACACTAAGACACAAGTTATTGTCTGGAAGTTACAAAAATGTTTATCTTTGGCCCCTAATTCCTTAACTGTTGGTACCATAACCCCCAAAATCAATCCCAACCTTCCTTTTGTGGTATTGAACCTTATGGTAAAACTTCATAGAGATCCGTTCTCTTAAACTAAAGTTATTGTTCGAAAAACCAATGTGTCTTCGGACGACGACGTCATACCAATATATGACAGCAAAAATTTTTTGCGGTCGTATAAAAATGAAACATATGCAATGGATTTAACATAAAACTTTTAAACACCTGAGGTATATGAAAATTGTCATCAAATTTATTGAAACTTTATTGTATATTTTAGGTCTTTTCATCCAAAAGACTGTTTTTCTAGTTAATGCTAATCCTTTTTTTCTCAAATGTAACCTACTTAATTACACTCAGTTGGTTTCAAGTAACAAGAGCAACATGATGGGTGGCACATGTGGAACAGGATCTGCTTACCCTGCAAGAGCACCTGAGTTCAAACTCAGTTTTTGGTGGGGTTGGTGTTGCTCGTCTTTAGTTTTCTATGTTGTTTTTTGTGAGCAGTTGTCTTTAGAACTTTTTTTTTCGTGTCGCTGTCAGTTTATTTTGAAATTATGTTGTGAAAACTCTTTCGCATCTTTCCACTGTCTTTTGCAACCATACAAAATGTACTAGTACTTTTGATTTTTAGTACACATTTAAATAATAATATATTTTACCTTTTAGCAGCTTTACTGGTATTTTTTACCACTGCTTCATCTATCTCTGTGTCACTTTCGACTGTCAAGGGTTTTCTACGTCTTGTCTTCACTTTACCAGATGTCTGTTGGCTTGAAATGCTTCCTAAATATGGTACCTCAGTGTACTGAAATAAATAAGTAAAATGTAACATGTGTAATAACAGCTACTAACTGATTGGTCCTTTAATTTTTGTTCTAATGTTCTAATAGTCATGATAGTATTACAAGAATTCTTTCATCTAATATTCTAACACACTTTAATTTGTACACAATAGGAGATTTTACATTGCCTATAATTTATGTGTGTTGTACAAAATATCTGAACAAAATGTATGTTACCATCATAATTTCCATATATCCACTGGACAAAGCCACAATTATTTCAAGCAAAATATTTCAGTTTTATTTACATTATACAATAAAAAAAATATGCATCGCTGTAGTAGTATTAATTACTCAATGCTTGATACTATTTTCTACATTACACACATCAATAAAGAGATAAAATTAGCCTTATTTTAACACTATTGTTGTTCTCCTGTTTACAGGTACATGTACATAAGTTCCAAATACATTACAGTATTTGACTTAATGGATTTCAACAGTTTAATAGTCAATGCTTTGGTAATGCTATGTTTTATAACAGATCTTTCTTTTACTCTACAGTTATATATATTTATAAACCAAACTAAGTACATAACTCTCTCAGGTAAACCTCACCTAAAAAAGATTTGGCTATTATATATGTCACTGTTGATTATATAAATATTCACATATTTAAGTACAATCTAGGATTTAATTTTTTGGGACATGATAGTACATGTGGAAGATTATTCCTACATGTTAAAAAAAAAAGCAAAATAAGCGCATCTAACACTTCCTTACCCATATGCCAGGTTCTCTTATTCCAAGATATTTTTTGTAGCGTGGTGAAACTAACTCAGGAAGTAAAGCATTATGGTAGAATGCTGTTAGTTTAGGTATCATCTTGGTTTGCCAAAGTATTGTGTCCTTATATATTCGTTCTATATGTATATCATATGGATTTAATGTTCGCACGACAAAATCTATCCACGGTAAATTACATACATTCAACAAACCCTGGCATTGAAAGTAATAGTTATGGTTTGTTTTAAGTTTTAAATTGTTCGATATCTTTTCAAGGCAAAAGTTTTTTACTGACATTGAAGCTTGTGTCAAGTTAATATTCTTGTCATGAACTAAATTTTTAATTTCAATAAGTCCTTTAGCATTGTTTTCCATAACTATTCCATCAGGACTTCCTCCTAAAAATTTATGATTTTTGTCAACGACAAGTCCTGATTGTTCAACTTTGGTGTGTATATTTTCTTTCTGTTTAATATTTACATACTCAGTGATGGTAACTTTTTCCTCTTTTATTCCAATTCTTGTAGTTTTGTTGCCTTTGAACGTACTGTATAGGAGTTGTTTAATCAATGGTGCTATTTTAATTTTTGAATTTCTTTTTACAACTGAGCCAAAATTTGATGCTGTTATGCGTTTTTTTCTTTCATCTTTCCAAATTTCAGAACATAGTTGCAATGTCGTTTTTTTTTCAATTTTGATGATATCAGCTTCAGGAATGTCTATGTTTTTATTCAAATAATTTACTTTTAATTTTTCGAATTCTTCCGACGTAATATCTGGTTCAACCTGTAAAGATTCTTTTCCATAATGTTGTTTTGCTTTCTTTGTATTTGATTCTTTTATTGAAGACATTTTTCTTTTCCATCGATTTTGTTTGATACTACACTTGTCTTTGGTGGTATTGTTATTGTTGATACATTGTTTCCGCTGTTCATAAAGCTTTTCAAAATATACACCAGGTGTTGATTTAGTAGCTTGCTCCCACACATTTGGAGACCAAGTTGGCCCTTTGTTGAATCTTAATGCAGTGGCATAGCATCTTGTATGCCATGATCCTCTATTACAGTGATTTAGCATCTTTCCACCATCAAATTTCGTTCGCATATGCATCCAGCATTCCGCCAAATTAGTTGTGAAGTTACCAATTAAAGATCTTGCCTTACGTGCAACATTGTTCAGGAGGAGAGCCAGATCCCGTCTCATTGCAGATTGTAAGGATGAACCTTGAGTCCACATTTCTGATTGTTGAAGGAAAATGTCATCATCACCATTATCATCATCATCATCATCATCAATTTCATCTGTTTGTGCTTCATTACTGTGGTTTTTATCTGAAGTCTGTTGAACTTTGCAAAAATCTTCATTGCATCTAGTGTGATCTCCATAGATGTGTGATGTCGTATTTCTGATATCATGTTCCAAATTTTTAATGGCTAGTGTTTTATTTATTTCTGATGACCTCCTTCTTATAGAACACCGGACAGCACTAACAATTCTTATTCTGGTCCTTTTACACAGCTTGCCTTTTCCTTTATAACTAGGATTTTCATTTACTAAATTTTCTAAATTACCCCTAAGACACTTGGTAATGTGATTAGCACACTCCATCTTTTGTACCAATTTTCCCCAAACAGGTACACGTTGCATAATTTGTGCATGAATGGATGAGTCGCCATCTGCAATAAAATGCATATAACGGACTCCAAAATCGTTAGCCTTCAAAAAACCCTCAACAATTATGTCCGACTCCATAGATTGACTTGATTCAGTCAAGTTTTTGAAGCATTCATGGTCTTTTGGTGTTATTCCTAGGGAGTTACATCTATTGCAAATGTAGCAATATTTATTACTGATTCCTATGTGCAAGAATTTTTTAGATTCTGCACCAATTATAACGGCAACTCCTCCAAGAGCGTTATAGGAGTGCTTTTTCGACCTTTTGCTCCATCCACCATCACAGATAACCGTTATGGATGGAATATCTGGAAGGGAATGTTTATTTATTAACAAACTAGTCTATACTTTAAAACCTAATAAAAACATTTCACCACCACCACTAACAAAATGCCAATACAAGGGTGTACATGTACATGTAGATCATACTAGATGTGCAATAATGTTTATATTTTATGTTCTTTTGTACATATTTATGTTCAAATGATTTTTTTTTCTTCTAAATATGTTAAAAATGTGTCATCATTATTTATTGGTTTTAAAATATTTTATCCTCCCATCCCCCCCCCCCCCTTTCTTCCCCAAAAATGTGCTTGTCCCAAATCATAAGCCTTTAATTCAGTGGTTGTGTTTTGTTATTCTATTTCATATAGTTGTTTTTACTTTTTAGTTTATTCAATTTGTATATGCAGGTGTATAATTAAGGCTGTTGTTTTCTGGTGTGAATATGTTTATAATTGTCTTTAAAGTGATCTTTATATAGCTTGCTATTTGTTGTGTAAAAAGGTTATGTTTGATAAATACATGTAGCAAAAAGATGTCAGCATTTGCTCTTGTTGAAGGTCTACATGCAACTGTAATTACAAGATGAAGAAAATTAATCAACTTATTGTTGAAGGCAGTACAGTGACTTATATTTGTTAATTTTGGTGTCATTTGGTCTCTTGTGAAGAGTTGTCTCATTGGCAATCATATCACATCTTATTTTTTACATTGATATTTTGTGGCGGCCAGTTTTTATTGGTGGAGGAAGCCGGAGTGCCCGGAGAAAACCACCGACCTTCGATATGAAAACTGATAATCCTAGTCAATTAAGATTGGAGTCTAGTGCACCCGCACGAGCGGGGTTCGAACTCACAACCTCAGTGTTGACTGGCTGGTGATTACAGTAGTAACTACTTAGACCACTCAGCCACCCAGGCCCCCTAAATTATGTGAAAGATGATATGTATATCATTATTTTTTTTAACTGTCTCCGCACCCTAAATAACCAATTTTTCATCCTAGCCCCCCCCCCCCCCCCCCACACACACACACAAATCAAATGGTAGCTCCCTAAATGGATGAATTTGATATATTTTATTCATTTTTAACACTTATACCAGTCCTTCTAATTTAGTCCTTATAAGTTATGATATTGCATATTTTAGATATATATAAAGAATTGAGAAATTAATTATTACAACATTTTTCAATCAAGATATTTTTTATTGAAAATGCATAATTTTTACAGGTACATAAAACTACAGGTAAATGAAGTTACAGGTGTCTTATTACCTATCACCTGGCATTGCTAGGTGTTAAAATTTAATTACTATAAAAACAACAGCCCCCCAATAAATGATGACAAAACATGGTTCTGACATTGGACTCGGACTTCTCTTAAACTGAGTTTTACTGTGCGTACTGTTGTACGTTTGTTTTTTCTACATTGGCTACAGGTATAGGGGGAGGGTTGAGATTTGGAACTTCTATACAATATAAGACAACAACAAAACCAGTGCAAAATGTAATGATTGCAATGCTATAGTCAGTGCAAAAGCCACCTGATGAGTTTCCATGCCAGGGACGAAACATTTTTATCTTATGTACTATTAAATCATTGTAAATCACTGTTTATTAAGAATTTACAATAAAAATAGAAATAAGAACATTTAAAATGACTAACACTTTCATAATTTCATTACTAGAAGTAATTGACCAGGTAAGAGTGGTTTTTATAGTAATGTCCACTCAAAATTTCAATCGACCAGTATTTGCCAGTATTTCCCGGTGTTTACCGCCGGCATGGTCAATACTAGTATTGACCGCTTTTTTGCCAACCTTGAGATTTTTGATTTTTGATTTCTTTTTTTGTTAATTCAGCTCCTATTATCATGATTGTCATTTGTCAATGATCATAGTTTTGTAAGATATATATATAATTGTATTAAAATTATGCACACCTTCATGATATCTATTCTTTTCTATTGCTATCTTTTTCTCCAAGTCTATGGCCGATGACATTTCTTCTTCTACCATCACTTTCCACCACTGATTTATTTCTTTTTCAATAACACTAAAAGTGTTCTGTGCCATAGTTGGGGAAACCATGCTTGCCAATTGTTCATTTAGGTGAGCTAAACCGTTTCCGCTTACTATCGAACCCCACACAGCTCTGACATTGATGTCATAGTGACGTGTTCCAACGTTCAATAATTTGGGGCTAGTCTCAAAATGAAATTTTTTTCCACATCCCGTACATTTGGCAGCGAGAATTACAGCGAGTCTAAAATGAGCTACCTGGGATTCCAAAATTATTGGAACTGCACCTGAAATAGCCTTTTCTCTTGCTTTATCACAAATAATAGCATGACACGTTATCTCGGAAACATATTTTTGTAAACACTCTAAGTTTATTATTCTATATCCTGTTGCAGCTATATTGTTAATTTCAACACTTCTGAGTTCTCCATCAACAGACCTGTACACCTGGAATTTCTTTTTTATAGTTGGCTTTAGAAGTTTAATAATCCTTCTGTTGTTAGCAATAGCTCTATGCTTCTTTATTATTCTTACTCCAGTCCCTTCTTTCAAAGTACACTTGAAAACATGTTTGACATTGCCTGAACCAATTCGTATTCTTCGTCGTTTTGCTCTGTGTTTACCAGGAGCTAAACCAAATATTCGCGACTCTTTCTTTTTTCTTGCCATTGTGTAAACCACAATAAATAAATTGAAAATAATTCTTTACAATGTAACCTATTGTAATGGCAACCAGTTGCTCTCCATAGGTAATATAACTTAAAATACATATAAAACAACAAACATTTTAAATTATATCTTTATTAATCTTTCATGTAAAATAGACAACTGTATATGCTCTAATAGAAAACAAAATTCATTTAGAAGAATAAAAATTGTATGACCTCGTCATACATGATCATCAGATCAACGGACATAAAATGGGCTTCATGGGAGATCGAATGAATGGTTTTGTAATCAGTTCGTGCATTTCAACACAAAACATAGTATCTTACCACAATTCAATCTGTTTTACAAACTTTACTAACTGTTTTACTAAATTCCATTTGGTTTCACTTTGTGAAGATCAGCGATCAGCCTTTTAACAACTTCCGGTAAATTCAGGATATCACTACGCCTAAATATTCCCTAAAAAAATACGGATAATTTATAGAATTTATGATCGTTTCCAACCAAAAAACATATTACTGTAAACTTTTATATGATATATTAAATAATATTTTGTACATCATAAAAAAATCAATGATTATAAATGTGCGTAGAAATATTGAACTTTAAAAGGAAAGTAGAGACGAAGACAAATAAAAACAAACTGGTACACATGATTATAATTTAGGTTTTACATGGTAATTGAAATTGTGATTGTGCATTGAATACGGCTAACATTTTCCTTTTGTTGAAAAAAATTCAATATTAACTGAAAAAAATCTTGTATATGAAAAGTTAATAATATTGATAAAGTTACTGTTGCACTACGTTGGAAAAATTGCCACCTCCATGATTTCTCACATGTTTGTACGCAAATTGATATTTTACTTCATTTATCCAAAACAAAGGACATTTTCAATTCTTGTATCCCATAGATGTAATCCTAAGGTATTGTAAATTTATTTAATATATATTTAAAACTGTCTAATATATGCGTCCCATTTTTTTCCCAGAGCTGTGTATGAAAAAATAGAACGTTCATTTCTATTTTTGATAAGTTTCAATCAATAACTTCTCATGCTTTCGATATTGATTTATTATACAAAATGGGATAAATATGTATAGAAAACAACAAGAAATCAATGTTTGGGTTTGATATAATATAATTTTGAGGGCATTGAAAAGTCGGCCATTTTTTTATTCTTCAACAATTCTGTTTGTTATGATGAACCTTAATAGGTATGATCATTGTATCAGTAAACTGAATAAAAAATTGAGACACATTTTTGTGTTGCTCTTTAATAATTAAAATTTTCAAAAACTATCTACGTCTACAATTGACAACGACAGGTACAATGTAATGGGTCGTCTCACATATAGTGATGATCTTGTATGAATATTACTAGTAGTTTACTGACATGAAACATATATTTGGCTGTTTGTCTGTTCAAGTAAAGTTACCACAACGACATTTTTCTTGTTTTGGTTGTAAATAATTTGTTAATTAAAAGTCACTTTTATTTGACATCTGAATATTGATAATCATATAACTGTTACAAAACGGAATGACCTGGATACAAAGA